AAAAAAAGGTAGTCTACTCCTGAACTAAGATAGTGCCTTGGGCCAGCTGTAGGAATCAGAGCACAAGACAAGGCTTTCTGAGAAGAGAATACAACATCTTTTCTGCAGTCCTTGGGCTTATAGATAATGGCATTGTCTCTAGATGACTATTTTTGAACAGCTCTGTGAGTACACACTCTCTTTGGACATGCACAAAGTTCAAGAATACAGATGGTGATGGAGACTGGTCTTTTGGTCTGTTTGCTTATATGTATCATCAAATATCTGCCAACTATATAGCGCTCACTACACAATGTGCGGCACTGTGCTAAGTGTCAGATATATAGATGTAAAATAAAGTTTCCGCTTTTACAACTTGTGTAGTGAAGTGAAGACTATCTCCATTTTACAGATAAAGAAATAAGAGTATTTGCCCAAAGCCACAGAGCTCATAAGTGGTGGGCTGAGATTTAGTCTAGGGAGACCGACCACAGAGTCTGCTTAAGCATTATACTACATTGCTTTTTGTGTTGACTAATCTAGTTTCCAAAGTCCTTAATCCTACTCCAAAGGTAATTTGCTTCATTTTAATTTAAAGCAAGGATAAAAACAATATGACTCCACTGCTCAACCCTTTCTTTCCACTTCAGGAGAAAGGGTGCTTTCTGAATGGATGGAGACCAAGAGAGTTACTTTGAGCAAAAGCTGCCTTGCAGTTTAGCTTGAGGCAGAATTTAGAAATGGCGTGAACAGTGCCTGCATTAGCTGATGGCATGGAGTGCTGGGTGCCAGCAAAAGGGCTAAAATCAGACATATGTTTGGATATAAATGTTCTCTTTCCTTCTCTAATTTTAAGCCCTTACTGCTTTGTTGCAGTAAAATGGTGGAGCTTTAATTATGGAATCCAGCCCCTGAGGTAGAAGCAGAGAGTGCGTAAGACCCTCTCAGTACTCTTCTAGTCTAGTCAGCGCCACTGAATAAAGCCAGAGGCCATGGACTCTGGACCTCCTCCATGCCAACAATAGAACTGTCTTGCAGGGACTCTGTGAAAATTGTTCCATCCAGCACCCAGCAAGTTGCTGGCCTCAATACATGCTAAATAGCCACAATAAAGCTAATGTCCCCAGGCCTTAGAAACTAACCCGTCTACCTTCATTGATAGTAAGATGCAGCATTACCCTGAAGAATAAGCCATAGAGCAGATTATGGAAGTAGCAACTACAGTGTCACATTAAAAGAGCTCAGGCTGGGTAGATACTGTGAAGAAGAGGAATTAAGGACTCCCCCCTACCCAGTGTCCTCATCGTTGAACCAAATATAGAAACCACTCCACTATGGAGCATTTCTGTGGTGGGTCTTTCCAGACCTCTGTCAGTGCTCTACTCTGCAAAGCTCTCCAGCCCAAGGTTGGGAGGAAGCCAAACCATCTTTCTCACTGTAAACACACCATCTTACTTACTTCACCCTTCCTCCTGTAGCTGTCCCTATCTGCAATTCTGCAGTTTGTCAACCATCAGACTTAAGCATCAGGAAACTTGTGTCCAATCCTAGAGTCCAGCTCCTTAGTGAACAAATGTGGAGCCCCTATGGTCAGAATTTTAGTTAGACTTTGCAAGGCAGTAGACCAGATTGTGATAGAGAATGAACAGCTCTCAGTAGAAGGCAGTAAGAACTCGGCAGTATCTAGGGAAGACCCATTTTAATTGCTTATTGGCAAGGAAAGAAATATGTTCTTGGTAGCTAGTAAAAGCTTGAATGAGAAATCATGTTTGACTTGGGAGTCAAGAGACCTAGGGTTTAGTCCCACCTCTTCCACTAACTAGTAGTGTGACCTTGGATAAGTCTTTCAGTTTCTGTGGGGCTCAGTATCCTTGATCATAAAATGCAAAGGAATTAAACTAAATGATTTTCTACAGCCTTAAAAAAAATTTCTGTGACTGCATTTAATCAGCTGCAGAGTCTTTATCTCTAATGTGTTCCTATAACCACTCCCATGAAGAGCTACCAACCCACATCCCATTCCCAAGTAACCAACCTTACAGCTTGGCCAGACCCAAGGATGAGTCACTCAAACAGTTTTAAAGGCTGCACTTTCCATGCTCATGGAGGTTCCTCTCTGAAAAGCCATCCCAAGTTTCTGCTACTGAAAAGGATATACCCAGCATTGTAGCAAAGGAAGGTTACTGGTCCAAATGCTGAAACTGCCATACTAAAGAGTAGAACTATTGGAGAAAGGAACTACCCTTGCAGCATTAAAGATATTTATGCCTAGGAACTATATTCTCAGGTTCCCTCAGGGTTCCCTCAAGGTTCTTCTGGAAAGCATTTCTTCCTCAAATCCCAAGACCTGAATATGACTGCTCCCAGGACAAATGCATTTATTCTGAGGACTCTTCCCAGTATTGTTTTAGTCCCATTTCTCTACCTCTTCCCTCAAACCTTTGTTCAGCCACAGACTTTTTGTCATTGCAGAGTTACTGCATAATTTCTTGACTTCCTGATAGCTTCTTTTAAAAAAAGAAAGTATTAGGAAATTGGTTCTCCATCCATTGTTTCTGAAACAACTTATACAGTTGCCCTGCGATGTACAGCTGGGAAGTTGTTCTAAACAGCCGGAATTGTGTTGTGTGGCATGAGAAAAGGAAGTCATTTTTTGCTTTTACAGCTGGTTCTAGCCAAGTCCCACCCTTTGGTCTGCTGCAGTTTTCTCTTCACTGAAGGTAGAGTGATAAAGGAAAGGCTGAGGGAATAGATCTTTGGTTCCTAGGAACAGGAGTGGCAATTTACAAGTGTGTGTCTCTGCATATATGCTCCCACAAACACTGACACCCAGAAATGATCTATATGCCCAGGAGGATTTCTTAGCCATGTCTTAGCAACTGCTGCAAAGTGCTGCCTGCCTCTTTCCCTCCTCAGTGCCAGAGAGATCACACCCACTCCTTCCTGATTCCCTGCATTAACAGAAATACTAGCATTAAAGAAAGGCAGGGTCCCAGTTCATGGAGTCTCCCTGGCAGTCATTGCTCTGGGAGCTTCAGGAGACAGACCCCACCTCTACACCAAGGCATGTGGGACTATTTAACACCAAGAGAACAAGCAACGCTGCCTGTGGGAAACTGCAGGCAAACTATATTACTGCAGCCTTCTTAAATCCAGGCCCCCTTGGGTCCTTGGATAGAGCTGGTGCTGTCTGACCAGCAGCTTTTGCTGAGATGGCATTTAACTTCTGGCCAGGTCCCAGGAGCTGAGGCTGACCCATTTCCCCTGGTTTTCCAGGGCATGGGGAATTTGGTTATACCCCCAACAAAGCCAGGGACTAACACACTTAGCTCATGGAAGATGCACTAGAATTTGGGTGCGTTTATTTAAGCTAAGGAAAGATTGTTGACAGCTTCAGCATTTTCCCATATTTTAAAAAATTTAACATTTATTTTCCCACTCTTGTACCTTTTCCCGCCCTTTCCCTTCCCCCTTTTTCTTCATAGAAATGATTTGGTCAGTGTTCATAAGAATCTATAGTTTCAGGATCTTACTCAATTTAACCCTTTGGGGACATTGAATTAAAAATTGAACAATATTTATTAAAATACAAAAATACACTTTTCTCACATTACAATCAATGTTGCTTTGTTGGCATTCGTTCCCCCCACCCACCCATACCACCCCCTTTCAAATCTGAACCCTTTATTTCCTCTTAAAGCTAAAATAATAACTGAAAGAAGTTACATCATTGAATGGTCCAGAATAACAGAGATCTCTGCACTCCCCCAGCCCCCACCCTTTCTCCTAGACATCCTCAGAGGTGGGCCTGGAGGAGGGAAGCTTACCCCACGGTGCCCCATTCAACAGGACTCCATGCAGAACTCACTCATATATGCATGCGTTTCACTCTTAACTGAGGCTTTCACATTGATTTTGTAAAGCATCCTGGATGGGAAAGACTTCCTTAAGTGAGCCTGTGCCCTTTTTGTCTCTCCTTTTTTCTTCTCTACTCATGTTCTGCCCCCAGCTCCATCACCACAACCAGTTGGCACCAACTGTAATAATCCCTAATGAATCAGCATTTAGAATAGTCACCAAATCCCAAGCATGAGAAAAGCTTCCACTCCCCCAAGCTCCCCATTCCCAGCCTCTCCTTCCTCTCCACCTTAAAACAAACAAGACTTGTTTTGAAAAATCATAAAATGCCATCATTGTCTACAATCATTTGTCAGATACCCGAAACAACAGGTGGACATTGCACAATGCTAATTTATGGCCTCCTGTGAATCATTCCCTCTGCTGCTGCTCTCCTTCCTAACCTCCCCTGGTGCCGCACCCCCTTCAGTGGCCTCCTCCTTCTGGGAAACCCTGAATAGACACATGCCTTGCAGAGTGGGTTATGCCCAACTGCAGGAATCTGGTGCAGTGTAAAAGCATTTGACTCAGAGCTACGCCAGCTCCCCTCCTTCTAGCCTCCTCCGTCCTGAAGCTCTGTCAGGCAAGGAATACTCGTGTCCCAATGCACAGATTCAGGACTTGTACACATGGACAAAGACTCAGCCCCTTTAAGGATTCATTTGAATTTAGGTGGTTTTCCTGTTTAAAATACATTTACAGATCTAGCTTCACCTTGGTCTCTGAAGAAAAAAAATTATTGCCTCTCAACATTTTGGCACAGTATAAATTCATGGTGCTTTTTTTGTTTGGTTTTGTTTTGTTTTTTAATAAGATAAATCTGCAAAGACAGCTCTCAGCTTAAGAAAGATGTCTGTAGAAATGGGTATTCCTGTATTTTATGAAGCATCTTCTAAAAAAAATGACAGATGCAGTTTATCCTTCCTACTCCTCAGTAGCCCACACCCTACCTCTCTTTGGGTGTGTGGAGTATTTGTTGTTGTTGTTGGTTTATCTTAGCAGTTTCCACCTTACTCCAGAAATCCCTTCTGGCAGCATAGCAAGTTGACGTGTGGTTTGTACCCCCACAACATTCCCAAAATTCCCCCCTCCCCCTTAAATAGAACTTACAAGTTAGAAAATAGTTTTGCTTTGATTTTTTTTCTTTTTAAATTTTAATATAATCTTTTTTTAACCAGCCCATAGATTTAATATATAAGCATATACAAGAAAAAGTCTCTCCCCACTCTGTACAAAAGTTGCTGTCTTTGTGTGTGTGTGTGTCTGTGTGTGTGTCTGTGTGTGCATTCTATTGCATCTTGTAAGTTTTGGGGGGGCAGGAGAGTCATATTTGAGTTTCCTGTACCTTGTCCTTGGTATGGGTCTGAATTATGTAAGGTTCAGAGATAGTGGTGACTGTGGGGTGCAGAGAATTCCCCAGGCTGTTTTCTGTCCAGTGGGCCCCATGTGCTGGTTTGTAGGTGTTGTAGTTAATATGGTCATGAATTGTGGGCAGCACTACTGCCCCCTCACCTGATACACCGGATGGAGCTGCTGTTGCTGCAGTGGATGCTGCTGCTGGGATGTCTTCATCCACCTGGATAATTTCAACTGTCCGGGCAGCTGTGACTGTACTCCGCTGCTGGTGCCGCTTACGAAGTTTATAGAAGACAATCAACATGGCGGCAGCTAGCAGCGTCACTGCCACAAAGCAGCCAATGATGATCTTAGTGGTCTTCATGACTTCATCCAGGCTAGTCTGCATCTTGTCAGTGGTGTCTGTCGCGGGTACTGCCACCTGCTTGGGCACACGGGTGGTCTGAATGAGCACCGTGGTAGAGGTGGTGTATGCCGGTTGATAACCAGTAGATGTAGTAGGAACAGGTTTGTACTTTCGTGTTGTGTCCTCAGGCGAGCTCTCTGTGGTCTCTACTGTTACTGTGGTGAAGAAGCTGTAGTTGGAGGTGTTAAGCTCGGCTGTGCTCACATTGAGGTAGGCCGAGGCATTGGAGTTGCCTGCCACATTGGTCACCATGCATGTGTACACCCCAGTGTCTGAGAGCAGCACATGCGAAAAGTTCAAGGTGCCATCATTGAGAACAGAGATCCGTGGGTGGCGGGAGGCATGGCTAAGCACTGTCCCATTGGGTAGTAACCACTTTACAGAAGACATGGGAGGAGTCCGACATTTAAGTTCCGCCATTCGACCCTCAGAGATATTGAGGTCCCGAGGTGCATCCATGATGAATGGGGCAGAGCACTGGAAGGAGGCCTGGTCTACCTCTACCAGGTAGCGACCTCGCATGTGCATGGGAGCATGACAGCGGCCACAGCAGGTGGAATTGGTGGGTATATACTCCCGGAGCCACCAGGCTAGCCATAGAATGTCACAATCACAGTTCCAAGGATTGTGGTGTAGATGCAACTCCACCAGGTACCTCAGCGGGGTGAAGAGGTCATGGGGCAAAGAAGAGAGGTTATTGTGGGCCAGGTTTAGTTCCACAAGTGAAGCCAGCCCATCAAAAGCATTCCGCTCAATCAAGCTGACCTGTGAGTTCATGACCCATAGCTTCTTGAGAGAGCTTAGGCCATGGAAGGAGCCAGGCCTGATCTCAGGAAAGTGGTTCCCTGACATCTCCAGCTCCTCCAGCCCCACCAGGGGGGTGAGATTGGGCATATCTTTAATGTTGCACATGCCCAAATTCAGGTACTTGAGGTTGAATAGTCCCTCAAAAGCCCCCTCAGAAATATACTCCAGCTTCTTAAGCTCCCCCAAATCCAGTCTCATGAGGGAGGGCACTCGGTTGAAGGCATAAGAGGGGATGCTCTCTATGGGGTTGTTGCGAAGCCAGAGCTCCCGCAGCTTGGACAGGTACTCAAAGGCCCCACTGGGGATGACGGTCAGCCAGTTGTCAAACAGCTCCAGGGTATTGAGGCTGGCCAGGCCATTAAAGGCCCCCACCTCAATCTGCCGAATGGAGTTCCTGCCCAGTTGCAGGACCTCCAGGTGGTGGAGGTGTCGGAAGGTGTCAGCCTGGATCATCTGTATGTTGTTTTCCATGAGGTTGAGGTACCGGGTGTTGGAGGGAATACCCTGAGGGACCTCTGAGAGGCCCCGGCGGGTGCACACCACCTTGCTGAACTGGTTACTACAGGAGCAGACAGAAGGGCAGTTCTGGGGCCCAGCTGAGGCAGCAACTGCGATGGCTGCACACAGAATCCACACTTGTGCCGTGAGGTAGACGATGGGGAGCAGGATGGCATTCCAGGTGTGGTGCACAGTTACCTGCCACAAGAGCTTCATGGTGTGGCACGTTCATAATTCACCATCGCCTGGGATTTTGGCTCGGAAAGGAGAACCAGCCCTACCCCGGCTTAAGTGAGCTAGGAGCTCTTTCCATCTGGAGAAGGAGGTGGGGAGGGGGCGATTAGAGAGACAGCAGATCGGCCAAGAAAAATCCTGCCAAACTACAGAGGGGCCCCTCATCCACCAACCCACCCTCAAGGCCAGCCCTCTGAAAGCTAAGACTTTCTCGCCCACATTATAACCATCCCCACCCAAATCGCTGTCACCTACCTCGGAAGGAAGGCAGGGGAGAACCGGCGTGGTGTCCTCAAGATTTCTCCACGGGAGCTGGACACCTCATCCCCATTCTGACTTCTTAGTTTTTAATTAACAAAAGGGGGAAGTAGTGGGGGTGGGGAGGGCAGAGGGGAGGGGAGGGGAGGGGTGGGGGAGACAAAATGGCTTCTAGTAAATCCAGAGCCGGCGAAGCCGCGGAGTTGATACGCGCCAGGGAGAGCCAAGGCCCGGCGGGCTATGCAGGTGCATGCCCCCCCCTTGGCCCGAGGAGCGGCGCCACCAGCGCTTCTCTGCTTTGTCCTTGGACCCTGGCACCCACTTGCTCCGTCCGCAGGGGAAGGCGCTTCATTGCCAAAGTGTGCCTCCGGCGCCCCCAGCCCGCTCCCTTGGCCGCTGCCGGCGGGGGTGCGGGGGCGCCCTAAAGCCGCCCAGGCCGTGCTTGCTCGCTCGCCCTCTGGCTACTGCGCTCCGCTCTCCCGGCGTCGGCCGCTCGGGGCTAGCGGCAGCTGATTGCAGTCGTGAGCTCTTTGGGCTGCGAGAGTTAAGAGGAGGTGTACGCCGAGCCTTCGCCCACCCCAGACACACACCCCCTTTCTCCTCTGCTCTTCTCAGAAGGGTTAAAAAGATAAAAACTGGGCTCAGTTCTCTGGTCCGCCGTCTGCTGGCGCGAGGAGTGGTAATCCGTGCAGCCCCTGAGGGGCAGCGGCGTGGACGCTGCTCTGGGACCGGGTCCGCGGGCCGAGGAGCGCGCAGCGACCGCACCGCAGGCCCCTTCAGGGAGTCCGGGGGCGGGCGCGGGTCCGGCGACGGCCGCAACCCCAGGCGGCGCGCAACCGCCAGCCGCCGCCCGCCACTGCCGGGTCCCCTGCGCGCCGCCGGCCCCGGCTTTGTGCGGAGAGGACGAGTTCACGGCGGGGGCTCCCCGAGCCCTCAGAGGCTGCGCTGCCCGCGGACTGCTGCGGCAGCCCGAGCGCTGGCGGCGTGAGCAGCGGGGGTCGCGGCTGCGGGAGACGCTCCGGAGCCCGGAAACATGGTCCCCGCTGGCTAGCGGCGGCGGTGGCGGCGGCAGCAGCAGCGGAGCCCCTGCGCTCGGCGCCCACCGTCTCCTCCTCGCGCCGGGCTCGCGGTGTTGCAGGCAGCAGCCACGCAGACTGCTCTCTCATCCTTTTGTCCTTCAGTCAGAACGTGAATGTACTGCTGACGCATACTGTTCTGGGGAGAAGATTAGCGTGATGCAGTGCTCTTATGTATTAACACAGCTCCCCCTCCGCCGCCTGCCCTCGAGGGGTTAACGCCGGCGCCTTCCAGCGCCGCGCGGGCCGGAGCCGCGCAGCCCCGGATCCGCGCCTCGCCTCCGTCGGTCGGTCCGCTGGCCGGCAGCCTTCTTCCCCCCTTTTTCCTGTCTGCTTTCCTCCTCTTCTGTCCCACCCCAACCCTTTCCTGGGCCGCTTCCTCCCCGCCCCCTCAGGACGAGGGGAGCGAGCCCCGCAGGCAAGCGGAGAACGAGCAGAGTGAGCGTCAAGTGAGGGGCCGCGCGCAAGTCGCAGGCGTTCGCTGCTATTTTGGTCGGGTCGGAGCGAGCGGCTGGGTGGCCGCTGATAGGCTGGAGCTGCGCGGGGCTGCAGCGGGAGCCTGCGCGGCCCCCGCCCTGGCCCGCACCGCTCGCTTTGCACCTCTGGCCCTGGGCGGCTAGATCAGGGGCTGGAGAGCTGGGGGCGCGGTGGTGCGCATTGGGGTGGCCCCACTTGGCCGTCTCCCTCCCTGCCCGCGTCATCCTCACCCCCGCCAAATGCTGACGGGGCGCTTCATTGCGCGGGTCAGGCATCCTCGTACTCAAGTTTGGAGCGGCATGATGGTGGGAACTGGGGTGGGGACTGAGGGGAGATGGCCCAGGCTGCTTGGAGCCAGAAGAGCGGTTGTCTGGGCTTCTACGCTGCACTGATGCCTGGCCCTCCTGCCCCCTCCCTCTCAGGCTCCCTCATCCCTCCTGGGCTCTTAACTAGAGCTTTAAATGATAGTTTTCTTAATGAGGACTGCGGGGGCGGCAAACAGTGGAAGGAAAGACCAAGCGCAAGGAGCGGGGGAATGACAACCTGGGAAAGATTGAGGTGAACTCCCAGAGCCCTTGGCGCAACCCACAGTTCATTCATGTAGCTGCAGCCTTGGCTCTGTGTCGCCCCTTTTCTCTCCCCTCTTTTCTCAGGACTCCCAGAGAAGAACTGCGTAGCAGCCTGCAGTAGCAGTGTGTTGGCAAGGGAATTCTGGTCCATATTTGTGACAGAGGAAAGAGACTAGATCAGCCTTTTTGCACTGACCAGGAAAGACCTGTCTGCAGAGGGTGATCGGCTGATGGATGGCCAGCCCTTGAGAAGCAGGTCCAGTTGACTATTGCCGTCATTTTAGTATGCTGTCCTTTCCAATGCTGCCTCCAGTCTCCCCCTTCCCCACCTCTCTCCCTGAGTGATACTAGACGAGCTGGCTTGTTAAATCTTTACTCCCTGCACGTGGGTTGTTACTTAATAAGCAGGAGATGCAGGATTTCTCAGCTTTCTGGATTCTGCCACATTCATATCTTAGTATTGTCTGCTGCCTAATAACCTGAACCTCCTTAGATTTGCCACTATGTTCTTAAGTCCTAGAAAGCTCCATTGTAGACAAGTTGATGTCCCCATTCTTTGCCAAGACTTTTCTGTTTGCATTTGTGACCAAATAAGAATGTAATAGTTAATATTTGTTGGACCCTTAATCCTTTTATATAACTGTTAATCTACCCATAACTATGAATTATTTTATGAATGGGTCAAATTGTTGCCTATGGTCATGTATTACAAGTGGTAGGGGCAGAATTTTAACCCTGGAAGACCTCAGATAGATATCAAAGATATGGATATGGAAGGGATTCCCCAAAGTGTTCTCCCAGTGCGATGAGAACTCAGGTGTCATCCATCTGCTTCAGTGATTCACTAGTATGTTTATCTACTATGGGCCATCAGGCCTACAATCTCAGCGTTCAAGAGGAAAGGCAGGAATGTCTTGAAGCTAGCCTAGGCTCTGTGGCAAAACTGTTTCAAAACGGAATAATCGTGTATCTATTCTAGTTTTAATCTTCATTTACCCCAGAGAACTAATTGTCACTGTTGTTTCCATTTTGTGGATATAGACATTTACCTCAGGGAAGTAAATATTTTGCTCACAATCCTACATCTAGAAAGTGAAAAGCCAGCTTTTTAAAACCAACCTTAAATTCTGAGATCAGTGTTTTCATTACTAACAAAAACATTTACTGAATCTACTCTGAATAAACTAAATGGTGAAAGCAAGGTCAGGAGAAGACTGTGAAAGTCCAGTGAAGGTTATATATGATAGAAAAATAAGATGAAGTAAAAGAAGGAAAGAAGGGCTGAGAAAATAAATCTTTTGAACTTGTTTTATTCATTACTAATCAAAAAGGGGAAAATGAGAGAAATGGAATAAGTCATACTGTGATACTAAGGTTCAGGTCCATCTAGGCTCCTTATCAGCTCTTTGTATCTTGACTAACCGCTCCCCCCCCCCTTTTTTTGGTACCAGGGATCGAACTCACGACCTCACACTTGGTAGGCAGGTGCTTATGCCATTGAACTAAATCCCCAGCCCCTAAAACCCCATTTTCATGTCCTGAGCTTCAAGCAGAACACTACTATCTTGTAGACCCAGGAAATGTGAACCTACCCTGAGAAGGATCTGTGGAGGAGGGTGCTCTCGATGCCACCGTTGGCCCTGAACTAGTAGAGTTCTGGCATCAGAGGAGACCAGGTCTAGATGGCACACTGGAGTATGACTCCTCCTCCATCTTCAGACAAAAGAGAGACTCCGCCTAGGCCTGTTTCCTGCCTGTGTAGGCAAACTCAGGCCCCATCTGTTCAGCTGTAGGCCCAGCAAGTGGAAGCTGTTGCCCCCGCATTGAAGGTAAATGGAAGGGTGGGCTGACTTGGATCAGACCATTGCTTAGTAATGAGCTTGTCTCACAATAAATATTTGGAACTGCCACTGATAAGGGGAATATTCTAAGACCTCCCTGAAGCTCTACATGATGGGGCTGCTTTGCCCTCTGTAGGCCACCTGGGCTATGAAAGCACCTGAGACCCGCAAACCAGACAAAAGAGGCTGGAGCCTTTGCAGCACATAGCCCTTCTGACCTGAAAGTGACCCGCAGCCTCTCACTTTGGTAAGCTGATGACTCTAGCTGTGTTGTGTTGCCCACACAGACCATGGTTCTGACTGCTTTCTTGGTTTGGAGTAGTGCCACAAGAAATAAGAAAGGAAGGAGGCTCAAAGCTAAAGAGAAAGAGAAGGAATAAAACATTGTGTTGATGTTTTCACAAGCAACTTTGCCCAGAGAGACCTATGAGAAAGCTAGAGAGGCCAGCAAGGGCGAATGGGCCCAGAGAAGGTTTGGGATAGCTTGAATCCTAAAATAGCGATAACCTCTGTTGCTTAGTTTATAAAATCAAATGGACTAGAAAGTTCCTTGCAGTTCTCATACTTCATGGTTCCAGCCCCTTCTTACACATGTAGCTCTGTCAAGAAAGTTGATCTTTGGGATTGTAGCCAAGTCTTGGAAATGGGCCACAAAGCTGAGAAAAGAATGCTTCCTTCAGTTTAATCTAGAGATCCACAGGCCCAGAGCAGAGCAGATCAGACTGTTTTCCCAGCTGCTAAAGTGGCTCATAGATCACAAGATGTTAACACTAGAAGAGACCTTGGAGATTATCTGGATTAGGCCTCTCATAGATGCTGTTAGGAAGCTCAGAGAGGCACAGTGTCTTACCTAAAGCCACATGACTTAGTATCAGAATCTGTCTTTTGAGCTCAGTCCTTGTGTCAAGTTGTTGATGTGTAGGTAATGAGTGTTTAAACCTGCACCTTGAAGGTATTTCCAAATGCCTGTCTTCTGTGGTCTTTTATGTAGGTACTATTATATTTTGCTGGATTGGAATAAAGATGAGTCTTCAGTAAAACTGCTCTGCCATTCAGAGTGATTTTATGACTACCTGGGCCAAGAGGCCTTGGGACTCCTCTGACCAGACCACTCCCCACCCCATATGCATTACATTCCTGAGACATTATCCTGAGCAGCCACTAGATGTCCAT